AGCAGAGACTGGATAGAGCTCTGATTAATGCTCATTGGAATCTGGAATTTGAAAGTATGGAAGTGGTGCATTTGGCAAGGGGTTCCTCTGATCATAGTCCTTTATTATTGAAAATTATGGACATTCCTGTACAGAAAAGAATCTCCTATTTTAGATTTCAAGATATGTGGTGTGATCATGAAGATTTCCTGGCTCTAATTACTTCTAACTGGAATGGGCAGTATTCAGATAACCCAGTGTCAAATGTGTTCATCAAAATGAAATATCTGAAGACTCATATGAGGATGTGGAATAAAGAGGTTTTTGGTAACCTTTTTGAAAAGTTGAAAGAGTTTGAACAAAAGACTAGTGGAATTGAAATGGAATTAGATTAGAACTTTTCTGATTCTAAAGCTTTAGAATTAGAAGTGGTTAAAGGTGAGATGGATGATTGGTTGAGAAGAGAGGAAATCTATTGGAAACAAAAATCAAATGTGAAATGGGCTATTCAAGGAGAGAGGAATACTAGATTTTATCACTCTATTGCTAAAAGTAGAGTTATCAGAAACAAAGTTTCAAGAATCAAGAATAAAGGAGTGTGGGTATATGGGGATAAACAGGTGGCTGATGTTGCTGAGGAATTCTATACTGATCTTTATAAGTCTGAGGAGCATATCATCAAAGAACACATATTTGATGTCATTCCAAAGCTTATCAGTAAAGAGGATAATGAGAGGCTTACTGCTAAAGCTANGACCTATAAGCCTATGTAACTTCATGTATAAGATTTTTACAAAGCTTCTAAATACTAGATTATCTCCTCTACTTCCTGCTCTGATATCTGAGGAGCAACATGGTTTTGTTCAAGGCAGAGGGATTAGTGATTGTGTGGCTTTGGGGCAACTACTTGTTGGTGAATTGAACAGGAAGGTTGAAGGTGGCAATATGGTTATGAAACTAGATATGATGAAGGCATATGACAGGATGGAATGGGATTTCTTGCTGAAAGCTCTGGCTAGTTTTGGATTTTCTGATTTGTTCAATCATATCATTTTGAACTGTTTGAATAGCCAATTCTGTACTATATGTTTAAATGGGCAAAGGTATGGTTATTTTGCTAATTCAAGAGGACTAAGGCAGGGGGATCCTATTTCTCCTTCTTTATTCATCTTGGCTGAAGAAGTACTGAGTAGAGGGCTGAGGAGCATTTATAGTCAAAATTTGGTTAATCATTTTCATATTGGGAGAGGAACAACTATTGTGAGTCACCTATTGTTTGCTGATGATACTCTGATTTTTCTAAGAGGTAACAGAAAATCTGTATTGAATGTTATGAAGTTTATTGCTATATATGAATCAAGCTCTGGTCAAAAGGTTAACAAGTTGAAGAGTGCTGTTTTTTGTTCTAAGCTCATTTCCTTGTCTAGAAGGAATAGTTTGGCTACTCAGGTGGGAATTCCTTTTAAAGAATGTCCTTTTACTTATCTGGGATGTCCCATTATCAGAGGAAGGATCAAGAAATGCTATTTTGAAGAGGTGGTGAGCAGATTCAGGAAGAGAATTGAGGGANAATTCCTTTTAAAGAATGTCCTTTTACTTATCTGGGATGTCCCATTATCAGAGGAAGGATCAAGAAATGCTATTTTGAAGAGGTGGTGAACAGATTCAGGAAGAGAATTGAGGGTTGGTATGCCAAATTGTTATCTGGTATGGGAAGAATTGTACTGATACAATCAGTACTTAGTTCAATCCCTATTCACATATTGGCTTGTCTGAATATTCCAAAAGGTGTATTAAGTAAGCTGAATTCTCTTATCTCTAACTTCATTTGGTCAAATCAGATTGGATCTAAGACAAGACACTGGGTTTCATTGAATGATATCTCTAAACCTAAAACAGAAGGTGGTTTAGGAATTAGGAGTCTTGAGGAAATTCAAACAGCATTTAGAATCAAGCAGGTTTGGGGTATTTTAAATGGTTCTTCTTTGTGGGCCAAAGTTTTTAAAGAAAAGTTTTTTCAGGGGAAGCATATGATTAGATGTGGAACTACTATAGCTGGTCTTTCTTTCAAAATATTACAACCATGGTTCAAGTTTACAGTACAGCATTCCTTGAAAATTGTTGGCAATGGACAGAATACTGATTTTTGGTGTGACTCTTGGTTGAGGTCTGGTCCCTTATTTTTTAGATTGGAATCTCCTCCATTGTTTTTCCCTAGGATTAATGAATTATGGAATGGTGTTGAATGGCAACTTGAAAAGGTAGCTGAATGGCTTAATCCTCAGATATGCTCTGAGATTGAAAGTGTAGTGATGGTGAGGTCTGACACAAATGATAAACTTATCTGGAGGCATACCAAATCAGGCTGCTTTACTGTTAAATCTGCTTGGAATGAAATTAGGAAAAAGGGGTCTCATCATGATATAGTTCAAGGTATTTGGAAGCAGGAAATTTTTCCTAGTGCTCAGTTATGCACCTGGAAAATTTTTAAAAAAGCCTTGACTTCTGATGACAGAATTCAGCATGTAGGAGTGGCCATGGCTAGTAGATGTGTAATGTGTGGTTCAGCTGGGGAATCTATAGCTCATCTTTTCATTGAATGTTCTTTAGCTCAATATGTTTGGAGGAAAATTGCTGTAATTATGGGGTTTGATATTTTGTCAGGTGAGTCTCCTTTATGCAGATTTTTGAGATTGCTCAGAAGATTCAAAGTTCCTTCTCTCGGTCACAGTTTGATTAGAGGGATTTCTATGTTAATCTTTTGGGCTCTGTGGAAGGAAAGATGCAGAAGGAAGTATGAGGGTTCTTTTTTGAATGCACATGCAATTTTTCTACAAGTTGTTAGTACTTTGAAATGGCAGGCTTTTGTCATAAGGCCTAGAGCTAATGATGATGGTAAGGGGCAGGAACTTTTGAGAGAGTTGAACATTAAAAATCCTTATTCTTTAATTACTAAGGTTAAATGGATTAGTTGGGCATTTCCTCCTATAAATGTATTAAAGCTTAATGTTGATGGTGCCTCTAAAGGAAAGACTGGATTATCAGGAGGAGGAGTAGTGGTAAGGAACCATGCAGGGAGAGTTATTACAGCTGCTGCTTGTTTTTATGGGGTTGGTTCAAACATGTTAGCTGAATGTATGGCATTGTTTGATGGTTTACTGTTGATCCTG